TATTATATTCAGATGTGATTATCAATTCATTTACTGTGCAAATTTTGTCGTATATACCCCCGTTCCTCCCTGTTACATCCTCCCTGTTTTTTCAGTACACCTTCCCATCTCTCATCACTCACTGTAAGGAGGAATGGAACAGAGACTGCGAAGCCAGCCATGTCGACTGGGAATTTCCTTCCTCCAATCCAGCCATCATACCAGCCGATAAACCTGCCATCCTTGAGCACTGGGGTGGACAACCCCGCCTCCGTCAGCAGCCCCACTGGGAACATAGACACCACTCTGGTGTAGCGCATCTGAAAACAAAAATACATCGATGAAGACATTCTTAGTATTACCCAGGATAACACAACACAGGCAAGCAGCATGACTTATTTCCATTGTGGTCCTGTACTAGGATATGATCCTTAACAGCTGACTATTTCTTAGCTACGTATTTGCATTGTGAATATAATCAACATGTCTTAGGAGAATTGTTACTATCAACACAGGTGCTTTGAGTTGTGAGCATTACTGTACCACCGAGCTACTAGTCACGTATAAATTTATGCAGTGGTTCTGATGGCACATACACTGTATGTAGGCATACACATGTAGGAATATTATGATTTTTAATTATTTATCGTAGGCTAACCCAGTAAAGTCATTGGAACGTCCACATTTAAACAGGAAAAGACCCGGTTTATATACATAATCCAGAGGATTAACGTAACATTTACCTCTATAATTTTGGAAACACTAGAGTTAAATGTTATGTTAAACAGGAACCAATTATGAATAATACGTATTAGTTGAAGGCTCATAGAATGCAAGCAGAGTACTTCTTAGCTGATGGTTGATAGTATGTTAGCAAAATATACATTGTCATAAGAAAATCTTGTCTACAGTGATAGGAAGGCAAACTAGCTAAGCAAGTGAACACTGCCACCACAAGCAAACAAGTAGACACCATCACCACAATCAAGTCGACACTTAACATTAGCTCTAGTCAAGAAGGATGGGATCAGTTCTCAGGAAATGATGAGCCAGACAAACATCTGTCTTACTGTTGACACACCAGTGGAATGAATACGAGGTAGTAGCAAGTGCTAAAACCACTGGAATGTTAAAAAAAAAAATTACGTAATGACTTCTTGAAAACGCACCACCACGACCATAGCACTGCTTTTGTAGCTGTAAATAGGCAATTACAAATAGGTTGAAGAGGCAGTCACAGTTCATCAGATGGGAAACTAATACCCCAATTTCTCCAATAAAAATGGTAAATTGGGGCATACACAGCTCAAAGCCAAGTCAAACCTTCTACTTCAAAACAACTACCATGTACAAAAGAACACTCCCACCACTACTTTCAAGTAAATACCAGCATACTTCCTCAAAAATCTGGATATCGTAGGTGTTATCGTCGTCTGCGAAGTACAAGACTCCCTCAGTGGCGTGGGCTCGTATCCACTCCATCCCACCATTCCTGTTGGCCACGCCCTTGGGCCTTGCTAGCTCTTTCTTAAACTCCTGTGGCATGGGTGCTGAGGGAGGATGCAGAAGTAAGGGTATACATAAGGAGATGAACATAAAGTAGTCCCCTCAAGGGAGGTTCCTTGACGCTGGTGAGGGGCTCTTGATTTAGAGAATTGGATATGTGCTCCGGTTCCCTGAATTGAGCCTGAATACCTTAGACAACCCCCCCCCCTCCCCACAGGCGCTGTATAATCCTACGGGTTTAGCACTTCCCCCCTTAATAATAATGTACAAAAAGTAGAAGTGTTCTCCAATAAGTAGAGGTAGGTGGGGGAAGACTTCCTCAGCAGGTAGAATTATACTTCCTCAGCAGGTAGAATTATACTTACTCAGCAGGTAGAATTATACTTACTCAGCAGGTAAGTGTAGGGAAGGTGGATTCTTTTGAGAAGGTGGATCACTTGGGGATTGGTTGTATTGGTATCGTCAGCGACGATCCAGTGAATGTTGGGCACGTTCACCAGGGTCTGGGCTAGCCTTGTCAGCTCCGGTATCTGCGGAGAAAGACAAGTCAGCCAGGTAGACAACCAGTTAGCTCGTCTGTCAGTCAGGCAACCGAGTAGTCAGCTAGCTCGCCTGTCATCCAGAGAACCAAGTAGTCAGCTAGCTCGCCTGTCATCCAGAGAACAAAGTAGTCAGCTAGCTCGCCTGTCAGTCAGGCAACCGAGTAGTCAGCTAGCTCGCCTGTCATCCAGAGAACCAAGTAGTCAGCTAGCTCGCCTGTCATCCAGAGAACAAAGTAGTCAGCTAGCTCGTCTGTCAGTCAGGCAACCGAGTAGTCAGCTAGCTCGCCTGTCATCCAGAGAACCAAGTAGTCAGCTAACTCGCCTGTCATCCAGAGAACCAAGTAGTCAGCTAGCTCGCCTGTCATCCAGTCAACCAGTTAGTCGGCGCGTCATGCAGTGCTGCAGGTGTAAATTCGTGTAAAAACAAATGTACTCTCTATTTACATTTCCCGATTAAAGTCAACATGGTTTTTCAAAATATATTTATATTTTACGTATTTTCCTTACAAGCGTGTAACATTAAACAAGCTTGTTGAAACGACCAGCTGCAGCCTCTTTACTCCACTCCCGGTGTGTTTGCACACACTCCCGGTGTGTTTGAACACACTCCCGGTGTGTCTGCACACACTCCCGGTGTGTCTGCACACACTCCCGGTGTGTCTGCACACACTCCCGGTGTGTCTGCACACACTCCCGGTGTGTCTGCACACACTCCCGGTGTGTCTGCACACACTCCCGGTGTGTCTGCACACACTCCCGGTGTGTCTGCACACACTCCCGGTGTGTGTGCACACACTCCCGGTGTGTGTGCACACACTCCCGGTGTGTCTGCACACACTCCCGGTGTGTGTGTACACACTCCCAGTTGTCAGTCCTCAGCAGACTAACACTAGTCGTCATAAAAATCACACTGTTCTCAAGGGAACAAAGTGCAGAAACAAGATAAGTGACGTTGACAAGAATGTTATCAGTCGTTGTTGGTACAGTACTTAGTACAAGATTTGCGCAACGGGAAGCAGGTTTGCAGTGAGTAAACGTGTGCGTATTTCTCACCTGTTCCAGCCTCTTGTAGGTGGGGGTGACGATGTAGATGGTGGGTAGGCTGTTAGGACGCTTCTTGAGCCGAAACACCGTATCCAGTAACTGATTCAGTCGACCTTTGATGGGGTAAAACAATTAGCACACAGTTTGGTGCAGTGTGATGCCATACACTTTACACAGTTGAAGTATAAAATAGCCTACCCCGTGGCAGATGCTGCAAATGTATGGAATAGGTAGTAGGCTACTAAAAATTTAGTTAATCAAATTGAGGCTCAGTTTGGAATATGTAAGAGGGAGGACTAATTACCAGTGATAGAACTTAGGATGCGTATTGTCACTATGGTATTAAACATTTTTATTGATGAGGGTGTAAATGAATGCTGTGGTGTTGAGAAGATGTGTGGGATTAAAAGATGTCGGATCTGAAGCATCGCGTTTTAGAGGCTGTAGCATCCAGCTGGCTTATCAGTGTTAGGAGTGAATGGAAACTGGTTTTTAATGGACGTGTTACTGGAGTATGAGCAAGGTAGTATTTATGAAGAGATTCAGGGAAACCGGCTAGCCGGACTTGTGCACTGGAAGTGGGAAGGGCAGTGCCTGCACTCTGAAGGAAGGGTGGGGATATTAGTCGGAGGATAATCTGAATTGTGACGTCAACACACTTCTAGTAAGAAAAACAGTTGAATGAATCATGGTGAGGTGTTTTCTTTGGGTGGCCGTGCATTGGCGGGAGGCGACAGTTGACATGATTATGTACGTATCAGTGTGGCGTGTATGTATACAAAGAGGAACTGGGTGGCATTCGAACCCGTGCCACTGTGTATGCGAATCCAACACTAGTACTGGGCCATGTTAGTTTCAATAGGAAGACTGACAACGTGTCTTATATAGGTGGTATCTATGGGCGTTAATATTTTCTCCCTTGAGGGGGGGGGGCGAATGCTCAGGAATATTGATTAGACATGTTAAGAGTCACCAGAGGTGCACATGTAAAGGGTAGGTAGATCAGACAATCGTGAAACAACATACAATATATCAGTTCAGCTGTCATATGTCATGTTACTATTTTTTTAATAGGGGGGAAAAACTCCTGTACACTTTTTAACCTATTATGGTGACTAATATACCTTCTTGGGAAATAGTTAAAATTGCAAGTGCACACACTAGTTCTAACTTTGGCAGGAAACGATAACATGGTATATCCTTCTCATTCCGTGATTTTTTTTTTTAAATTACAGAAGTTTTAAGATAACATAGACCAGTTGGACACCTGCGGTAGATTTGATTACGGTGTATCCCAGTAAATTTCTTAAATTCCTCCTTACATTTTTCACACGACTCTGCTTAATATTTCTACACGAATGGTCAATTTTTGTTGATACCCGGCATCTCTGAAACCTATGCTATCCCACACCTCGATCTACTTACCTGGAGGGTATTCCAGGGGGTCAGTGCCCCCGCGGCCCGGTCCATGACCAGGCCTCCCGGTGGATCAGGACCTGATCAACCAGGTTGTTACTGTTGGCTGCACGTAGTCCAACATACGAATCACAGCCCGGCTGATCCGGTAGTGACTTTAGGAATCTGTCCAGCTCCCTCTTGAAGGCAGCCAGGGGTCTATTGGTAATTCGCCTAATGCCTAATGGGATGCTGTTGAACAGTCTTGGGCTCCAGACACTTAGTGTTTTCTTTTAATGTACTAATGACGCCCCTACTTTTCATTGGGAGTATGTTGCACCGCCTGCCCAGTCTTTTGCTTTCGTAAGGAGTGATTTGTGTGTGCAGATTAGGGACAAGTCCCCTCTAGGATTTTCCTGGTGTAGATTATGAGGTATATCTCTCGCCTGCGCTCCAGTGAGTCTTATTGGGACTTTAGTAGCTCACTCATTTCTTTGCTGTCATCCGTGTAGGTCCCATCTCATCTAAGCAGGGGTCTAACACTGCATGTTGTTTTAGCCTTAGATTTGGCATAAGAAAAGATTTTTTTCCAATTTCAAGTGCTTCCAAGTTTTCCCAGTAGTTAAGGTGTTTGACGGAACTTATATGTGCAGTAAAGGTTCTCTGTACAGTCTCTAGATCTGCGATTTCACCTGCTTTGATTGGAGATGTTAATGTACAGCAGTACGTATACCAGCTTCGAGAGAAGTGATTTAAAAAGGATCGTCATTGGCATGGCATCTCGTTGTTTTGAACGTTCTCATTATCCATCCTATCATTTTCCTCGCAGATGTGATAGTGGCACTGTTGTGATCCTTTAATGTGATATCCTCAGACATTACCACTCCCAGGTCCTTCACATTACTTCTATGTGATTAGAGTTGTAGTGTACTCTACAACTCTAGTTTTCCATAAAGGAGTAGTTGGAATTTCTTCTTTAACATCATGTTTTCAGTTGCCCATTGGAAAACTGGTTTATATCTTCTTGTAGATTTGCCGTATCCTAGAATCGTCTGCAAAGGATAGCACGGTGCTGTGGTTTACATCTCTGATAGGATGAGTAACAGGATGAGTAACCTATGCTATCTCGTATCTCGGTAACTTGTGGTACCCCCACACACCTGTAACTTACGCTACTCCATGGCTCTGTAATCAGTTCTACCTCTCACTTCTGTAACCTGTTACCCCACACCTCTGTAACCTATGCTATCCCCATACCTCTAACCTGTGCTGCCCCCACACCTCTGTAACCTGTGCTGCCCCCACACCTCTGTAACCTGTGCTGTCTCCACATCTCTGTAACCTGTGATGCCCCCACCTCTGTAACCTGTGCTGCCCCCACACGTCTGTAACCTTTGTTACCCCACTATGCAGTAATAAAAACTCTTAGACATCTTCAGCGTTTTGTGAATCTCCCCTATTTATTCTGACGAACATATAGATAAGAATTTCCTTACCTTCCAGTCTGTCAAGTTTCTCTAATATTTCATTTATTGGGATGGAGGAGTTCTGGTGTTGACGGATTCCTTGTGGGCTACCGAAGATGCTTAGTATAATGAGAACCATCATCATCCCAGGAAGTACGACAGTCAATATTTTTCGCCTGGCAGAGTCGAGAAACAACGTGTAGGAGAATAGGTCACGAGGAGAGGAGCAGGATAATGTATTGTGCAGTGAAAGACAGGAAAATAAGAAAGGCTTTTTATTTAAGGTACTTTCAACTACTTTTTTTCCTTGGCATAGGCTGAATTCTTGTATACATCACTCGATATGACTGATAGAAGATGTCTTGTGGCATGTCCTATAACTAGGGCTTCTGGAAAGTGACTTATGAGCTTCAGGAATATTAATGATGTCAAGTGCCCTATAAGACTGGCTACTGTCACCTGCATTATGAACATTGATCAGCGAATGATACAATACGGCTAATGAAAAACAAAATTGTATTCAAGATGAACCAGTTATAATTTGAAGGTATACCTTCTCTTACTTTCTGCCCTACATAACTTGATTGAAACAATTTTCATAACGAAAATAGCTTAAAATTTAGTCTCTTGAACTTTGCAGAATCTTCGACAGTCCATTTAACTGGAGCTAATATATATCTGGGTTAGATTGGAATTCCTTCTTAGTTAACCAATAAAATTTTCTCTTAAGGATTAACGTCGAAGTATGTACAGTTGTCTGCAGAGTTTATCGTCATAGCTCAGCTTGTCATGCTTATCCTGGTATGTATGACTGGTTAGGTTTTCAAGCGCTTCCATGCGGATTAAAGTGGGAATAGTGACTAAAGGAAAATGGTGTAAATGTGCCAAATTGCAGTAAAAAATAGAACATTTTCTTTGTGTGTATATATATATATATATATATATATATATATATATATATATATATATATATATATATATATATAATATATATATATATAGTATATATACTATCTTGCCGAATAAGTAAAACTTGCGATTTTTTGCTTAAATAACAACGCACTTCTTGCCGAATAGGGCAAGCGAAAAATTGTGTATGCAATAATTTCGCAAAAACCATTCTGAATCTAAAAAAACTGTGTTTGTTTATTGTAAACTTGTATAAAATATATTTAGCTGGATTAGGCTAAATTAAATTGAGCTCGTTATAATAAGGTGAAGTAAGTTTCCTAAGGTTCTTTTGGTACAAAATCATTAATTTTTATATTAACAAAAATGAAAAATATACATATCTTTAAATGTATAAGAGAAAATTTTAGAAAGAGCTTAGTTTTAAATGAGTTCTTGCTAATTGACCAGTTTTACTTATTCGGCACGATTATATATATATATATATTATATATATATATATAATATATATATATATATATAATTGCGTAAGAAAGTGTTATAGAAAATGACTTACATATTTAGGGAGCGGTGTGAGCGCACTGATACCAGCAGCGACTACAGGAATACTGGTGATGGAACTAGCACTCTTGTGTACTTATCAGCCCACCTCCCTCCCCCTGCCTACCTACCTTCCTTATCAGCTATCTCCCTCTGCCAGAATTCTTCCCTTCCCCCACCAATCCGTAAGAGTTTACCTTTTTTTGAATGCCACACCCTCATAAACGCACCAAACGACCTCTCCACCCATGCCTTCCTCCATCAGCTCCCTCACTCCACCACCCATGCCTTCCTCCATCAGCTCCCTCACTCCCTCCACCACCCACTCGCATGACTAGAAAATGTTTGACAAACTAACCTAAACAAGAGAAGAAAAGGACCTTGGATTAATCATAAGCAAGATGGAAAGTACTAAACAGTGCTTATATGCGAGCTGTAAAGTTTCGTAGTTAAATAAACATCTCTGCTGGTGAGGGGCTGTATAGTCCTTGTGGCTTAGCGCTTCTTTTTTTATTATAATAATGCTGGTGAGGGTACAGTGAAGAGCAACCAAGCTCGTACCATCACTAAGAAATAAACCTTATTAAGAAAGACTAAACAATCAAATTTTCGCAGTAAACAGAGACTAGATGTTATTCAAACCTTTAAGAGAATGAGTGGTTTTGACACAAGCAGGAACGTATGTGATTTTTTTTTTCAAACAGAATTATAGCAGAATGGGACAAACTATCCACTGAAGCTGTAAGCACGATAACGATACAGTTATTTAAAAACCAGCTGGACGAGCACTTTGCAAGTATATATCTGTATATTACGCTTGGGCAAATTTAAATCGGCATATTGTGATATTTGTTCAGTAACTGCATCAGGACGATCAATTGACAATGAGTCAACCTAGGTAATAGAGGTGGTAAAAGTAAATGGTTGTCAGGAACAGCAGTGTTTAATTTGCTGAGGCTCAGTGTCTGGCTATCTGGGGACACGGGCAAAGTAAAAAAAAATAAAAATAAAATTTAAATGAGGTTTACTCTAGAGATGTAGTATCTCGTGGACAATCCACCGAGGTATGTTCATCTGTCAGTGGTACATGGCAGCACTGGCACACATTATTGTACCAGTCACACAACCTGTCTAGTCTAGACGAAGGGAGAAGCGGCCAGGGAAACTGGAGCAAAGGAGGGAAAATGGAGAGGCCGTAAGTCCGTATTCTCCCCATCACACAACCTGAGAAGCTTCTGTCACTCGGTTATTGCACCCCGAGGGTCTTAAGACCCCTCGGGGTGCAATAATTGTGACGCTACAATTAAGGCGACTAGTTCTATAAAGGTATCAGAATGAGTAACAGGATGTGTGATTGAAAGAAGAGAGGACTTACCCCCTCTCCATTTTCCCTCCCTTGCTCCAATTTCCATAGCCACTGGAGTTTCGTCTAAACTCTTGATCTGACGTCACTGAGCGAAAAACTGAAGTAGGTCGCGGTTCAGGTACGCGTATCTCTCCTTCCCCCCAATTGGCTTCACAAACTGATGCCTTCAGCCCTTTCTACCTCAATCTCTTGTTACCCTCTACCCCCGCACTATCCCCTGCCCCGCTGTTTTCTGTAACCTACTGATCATCCCTCCCCCGTTCTGCCGCCCAATACCCTCGCTTCCTTCCCTACCCTGCAGCGCTGTATAGCCCTTGTGGCTTAGCGCTTCTTTTTTATTATAATAATAATCCCCCAGTTGGACTCCCCTTGCATCCCAATAATAGTAAATTTATATTGAGATCTCCAGAAGCCTGAAATCTCTGGAGGGTTAAGTGTTTGGTTGACTGTCTACACCTTACTTTTTCTTTGATGCCGGTAGTGGTTGCTAGAGGCAGTGGTGGCATGCGGATCGACTGGGGCAGTGGCAGTGGGCGGCAGCGGGTGGAGGGATTTTCACGAGTTGCTGATCAGACTTCATCGACCGAATTACGCCGAAGGTACAAAACTGTAGGACTTGAAACCCCACTCAGGGTGCTTTTGATTAATTAAGAAAGTTGCACATTTGGTTGACAAGCTTTGAAGGGTGTGTGAAAGCAAGTTGAAAGTGAACTCGCTTTAACTGCTTTGCATTTTTCTATGAGCCTTAATTAAGTGTATGAAAGACTGAATGGAAAGGAGCATGAGGGAGTAAATGTTGAAGTACATCGGTGGATGCGAAATTGGGAATGTATCTTAGTAGTATCTTCATCTAATTGGAGCTTTCCTCCCCTTCCATAGATAGAACCCGAGTGCCTACCCTTGTTAATTAAGGGGGTTGTATGACCCTACGGGTTTAGCGCTTCTCTAAGCACTAATAATAGGGGAAGTAAATTTGAGTGCCCTGATATACCAGTATGTAATTGCTTTCATAAGTTGTGGTGACTTCTAAATTTTTCAATTATAATTTTTCTTGGTACAGTCTACCAAAACCTAGATAATGTTTGAGGATGATACTATAGCACATTAATTCTTAAACCACCTTATGTACAGTAGTAGTGAACTACCACGAACCTGTAACCGTAGTGCAAGCACTTAACTATATCGTGAAATACTATTAAATTTATTGTTGTGACCCCATCTGGTTAAGCGCTTGATTATATTCTTATGAAATTTATTACTAGATCTATAATTAATAACTGTTATAGTCTAAATTGATTAGAATGGATTATAGTATATCCCAGACGTCACCAAGTTCCAATTCGCGAGCCAGATACGGCTTGTGCTAGCGAGATGGTATCCCTGTTTACTTTCTGTTCCCACGCCAGTAATCTAGAAATATTCGTCTGGCAATTTTCTTAATGTTTCCTAACATAAATCTCTGTAAATTGCAGCTCGTAGCTCATAAAGGTTTGGCCACCCTTGGTATCGTTCTACAATTAGTTAATTGTGCTGGAATAAAAAATGCCATTTCTTTTAGTTTTGTGGAAAATGCTGTATATATTTTCCAGAAATACAGTAGTTATATGTAAATAGATGGCCATACTGTATTTAATAATATTTGTCATATTATTATTATAATCAAGGGGGAAGCGCTAAACCCGGAGGAGTATACAGTGCCTGGGAGGGGGGATGTGGAAGGCATTCAGGCTTAATAATTCGGGGAACTGGAGCACAGATCCAATTCCCTAAATCAAGAGCCCCTCACCAACATATTTGTCATAGAAAACGGAAAGCCTGCGTCTGCGCAGAAGACAGTCGCCATTGTTGTTTGAATTTGGATTAGAAACGTTGGTGTAATGGGAAGAATTTTTCTTGCTCTCGAGGTTAAAATTGGGCTGACACCTCTCAAATAGGAGACGAAATTGTTGGATGTGCATTCCTGCATAACTTGAGATATCAGGCGACTGGACAAGACAGCTCCAGGAATCTCAGATAAGTCTGTTATGTTTAACTCTGGCCAGTGTTATTTTCATAGTGAGGTTTTCTGAGTATGATACACATTAATCTCCAGTCAAATTGGTGAGTGTTATGATTAAGATATATTCTCCTTCTGTTGTATAAATGTGTGTGTGTGTGTGTATATATATATATATATATATATATATATATATATATATATATATATATAATATATATAATATGAATATTTCCTTTGGTTTATATAAATTAGATCCATTTATAATTAATAGAATTTGGGTAGAATTTAATAATACACTGGACAAATAAATAGCTTGGGGGTGAGTTTTGCAAAGGACCTATCCAAGTTGGCTCGCCGCGCGTCACGTGTTTAACCGTTGTGGGATCTGATAGTGAGGTGCTGGCCGACCCCTTATATAGCTTCCTTGGATGCTTCACTTTCATAGTTCCTTGATAATGTGAGTAGTCACGAAAGCGCTTGGAATTTCTCTATTCTTTCAGAGTGGTTGTTTTGCATATATATATATATAATATATATATATATATATATATATATATATATAATATATATAATCATTTATTTTTAATATACAGTCCACAAATTTATATATTTACCAGAATTCCTGGTGATGTATTTTTTATTTATAATTAATAGGTCCAGAGCAACTTGTGGATATGACAGTGGTAGGTATCGAAGGGGGACCTAGGTGTCACAAATTTCTACTTGTCTAACTGATAAATAATAATTATCTTTGTTCATTTACTGTTATGTACATAATGATACATTCAGATAAATGCAATTTTCCACAAGTTTGATGTTCCAGAGCTTATGCTTTGTACTGTATATTAAAGTAAATGTTTTCTCTTTCCTTATCTGCTATTGACAGTTTTGAAGGGGAGGAAGAACAGCCAAGTGGCTGAGACAACTGAAGGAGGGTGATGAAATCATAACTTCTGTAATGTCGCTACAAGAATGTTAATATAAATCCTATAGTTTTACGACTCTCGCCACAAGTTCAGTCCCCGCCCGTGGTATGTTTTACAATCGTGTCATTACGATCTCGTGAGTCACTCGTATACTGTACATCAGATCAGTACAAATCTGTATTTTTTCAGTGTCAGAATCTTGTAATTGCATATTGAAAATTATCATAGAAGCGCTTAACCCATAAGGCTCATGCAGCTCCATTAAAAAGGATGCTGATGAAGGACTCCTCCAATGTTTTGGATTACCATCTTCCTTGGATCAAGCTTTCCGTTTCCATTGTCCTATATAACCTCTGTAGGAGTAGTGCTTCTTCATGGGCTTTACCTTGTAAGAAATGTACAATGTTGAGCTATTGTAACCATGTTTTGGGAAATCATAATATACTTTTCAGATGGTTTGAAGAGCAGTGATATAATAGGCACTGTGGTAAGTATTGCTGGATATTCTTACTGTGGCTTGCAATAAATCTTTTATTGCATGCCATCCTTGCTCTACTTATAAAGGCTAAACGTCTATATAACAGTATCTTGTTGAGAGACCACCTATGTAAGTTAATTATGATTGTCATGAGCCGTGTGTGTAGTTTTGCAAGAGGGGTATTTGCGTTTTTATAGGTGCCTCTGGTTAAGTTAGATAAGATTTCGTTCGGATTTTTAACCCCGGAGGGTTAGCCACCCAGGATAACCCAAGAAAGTCAGTGCGTCATCGAGGACTGTCTAACTTATTTCCATTGGGGTCCTTAATCTTGTCCCCCAGAATGCGACCCA